TCTAATAATATCTATTATAAAAACTACATTTTCTACTGCTGCTCTGACTGTTCTTCCTCCCAGATTGAGGGTAAATCATACACCTTGCAGATGCCAATAAACGTAGAATTTATCTTTTGTTTTATCACACTCGATTACTATTTGATGAGTTCAAGGGGTTAGTCTGACATTGTACATGGCAAATATGTTTACAGAGCATTTTGTTTGCACTGGGAAATTTCCTAGGTGGAAATTTAAACTGAAACAACTGAACTCAGAAAGTCAAAGGAACCTCATCAACCCCAACCTCAAAATCCAAGATGGCTGCTTTTTGCATCAACAGCTGTGAAAGCTACAGTACTATACTACTGCGTAATACAGGCTTTTCCCATGCATATGCGCATGTTTTCTAATGCACTTAATTCTTTGTATTTCATGTAAGTTTGTGCGTAACCTAGGGTGACCATATTGTGATTTCCAAAAAAGAGGACACTCGCCCCGGCCACAAGATAGCCTACTTAAATGATACTTGCGGTTTACTCAAAGATGCCTTATAATTTTAATTTATTTAAAGTTTATATGTATGGATAGAAAATTCAGTTATATTACAAAATAATATCTCTCAAAGACAGAAATTCAGATAGGCCCCAATGGGGGACACATATACACACTAGAGTGTGGCTACCCAATCCGAGCCCGACGGGTCGGGCCGGGTTTGGTCAAAAATGTAGCTATAAATTGTATTCGGGCTCGGGTCGGATTCGGTCAGCTTTCAGTGAAAATGCAGTGTAAAAATAAATAAAATCCTATTGTCTGTCCTGTTTATTGCTTGCGCACTGTTATTTACGTGACAACACCTGAACATAACACACACAGACACACATTGGCTGTTTGTTTCTACCTCTCCCCTCGCTGGAAGTCTCGGACCTCCAGCCGCCTGCCTCCGCCTTGATTAAACGCTGAAAATAAAATAAAAGAGGGAGACAGGTGTCTCCTATTTTATCTTATTTTGTTATATTTCTCTCTCTCCCCTCGCTGGAAACTCGGACCTCCCACCGCCCGCTCCCATCTCAAACACGGAGGTCTCCCTCTCCGCGGAGCACCCATGGCACACGCCCAGCCTGTTAAATAGCCTGTAACCATAACAACTGTGTGACACAAACTCAGTGCTTTAGTAATTAAATAATGTCGGGCTCAGTTTGGTTTCGGACATAACAAAACAGAATGACTGTCGGGTTCGGACAGAAACACACACACACACACACACACACACACACACACACACACGGAAAACCGGACATTATCATCAATTTATAAACACCCCCCGGACGCCCCGGACAGGACATGAAAAGTGCGGGCAAAAGAGGACATTTGGTCAGCCTAGCATAACCCCCATATTTTGAGGTAGCAATCACATAACCAAAGCACCGACCGGGGTAAAGAGGGAAGATGTCTCAAGTGGTCTAATTAGGAGGCAAACTAGGTTAGTGGATGGGTCACAAAACACAGGACTTTCTCCCAAGACTTTCCCCAGGAAACTGGTGTTAGGAGCTGTGTTAGTGTCCTTGGAGTGATTTTAAGGTATTGCCTCTCTATGTTTCTTTTCCTAAACCTGACCTTTGTATACCTAACCTACATAATTTATGTTAATTACATAACTTTACATTGAGGAAGTAATATCACTAATGGGCTGCTAATGTGAATTGTAGGATATCATAAGAACTGTTGCATGTGCATTTTCATAGGTTATCAGTTGTACAATTGCTAACCTAGCTAGATCTGGTATTGCTTATGACATCTTGCTTTTCCAACTTCTTGTACTAAAACATGGTCAATTCAGGTGTGATGTCTATTATAGGCTGACCAAACGTCCTCTTTTGCCCGGACATGTCCACTTTTCACGTCCCGTCCGGGGCGTCCGGGGGGTTTTTATAAACTGATGATAATGTCCAGTTTTCCGTGTGTTTGTGTGTTAGAGTGCGGCACGGGCAGCATATTTCTGTCCGAACCGAGCCCGACATTATTTAATGACCAAAGCACTGAGTTTGTGTCACACAGTTGTTACAGGCTATTTAACAGGCCGGGCGTGCGCCGTGGGTGCTCAGCTGCGGAGAGGGAGACCTCCGTATTTGAGACAGGAGTGGGCGGCAGGAGGTCCGACGCTTCCAGCGAGAGGAGAGGGAGAAATAAAACAAAATAAGATAAAATAGGAAAAACCTGTCTCCCTCTTTTATTTTATTTTCAGTGTTTAATCAAGGCGGAGGCGGGCGGCTGGAGGTCCGAGACTTCCAGCGAGAGGAGAGGGAGAAATAAAACAAAATAAGATAAAATAGGAAAAACCTGTCTCCCTCTTTTATTTTATTTTCAGTGTTTAATCAAGGCGGAGGCGGGCGGCTGGAGGTCCGAGACTTCCAGCGAGGAGAGAGGTAGAAACAAACAGCCAATGTGTGTCTGTGTGTGTTATGTTCAGGTGTTGTCACGTAAATAACAGTGCCCAAGCAATAAACAGGACAGACAATAGGATTTTATTTATTTTTACACTACATTTTCACTGAAAGCTGACCGAATCCGACCCGAGCCCGAATACAATTTATAGCTACATTTTTGACCAAACCCGGCCCGACCTGTCGGGTACCGTCGGGCTCGGATCGCCACACTCTAGTGTGTGTATGTGTCCCCTATTGGAGCCTATCTGAATTTCTGTCTTTGAGAGATATTATTTTGTAATATAACTGAATTTTCTATCCATACATATAAATTTTAAATATATTAAAATTATAAGGCATCTTTGAGTAAACTGCGAGTATCATTTAAGTAGGCTTTGTCACGGCCGGCCGAGTGTCCTCTTTTTTGGAAATCAAAATATGATCACCCTAGTCTATTACAGCTCCAACATTTGACTTCCAGGGTAAGCTGTATTTTTTGCTGTACTGCCCTAAGTTAGATAAGAAAATCCATGCTACATTTAGGACTGTATGTTCAATATGAGGCTACCGCTAGCAGCTGGTTAGCTTAGCTTCACACAAAACCTGGAAACAGGGGAAAAAGTAGCCTGACTATCTACTGGTGACAAAATCCACCAACCAGCACCTTTAAAGCACACTAACACATACAAAACCCAAGTGTAAAAATAACACGTTGTGGTTTTAGGAGGGGTTATGTGCTGAAATATTCAACAATGTCACCGTGACGACAAGATCTCCAAGAAGAGTTAGTGCCTCATTTTTACATGTTAGTTTTACAAGATATGACATGTTAATTAGTAGCTTTTGGTGGTGGTTGACTTTGTTTTTCAGGATAGATCCAGATCAGCATTTCCTCTTTTTCAGTCTTAGCACCAGGGCTAAAGTATGACAAGTTGAGCTAAGCTAAGCTGCTACTGGTTGGTATACAGTATGGATGGTATCAGTCTTCCCATCTTACTCTTGGCAACTAAATTTGCATATTTCTGAAAAATGTAAAACTTAAAGGCTGGGCAATATGGAGAAAATAAAATATCACAACATTTTTGGCCTAATACCACAATATCAATAGTGCGACAACATTGTAGTGTTGACAGTTGGTGCTTTTGCAAAATATTTAGGCAATAATGATTTTTGATAACCTTATGTTGTAATGTGGAGATAATGATACATGGGTAAAAGCAAACAGCTAGAACAGTCTGGTAACTATAATAAATTACAACACTTAACTGTAATGCAGCCTTTAAAACCAGGAAATGAAAAAACTTATGATATAATGATGATGACATCTAGTCTCATATCACGATATCAGTATATTGCCCAGCCCTATAAATTAATTCTTAAAGTTTTGTTATTAATTCCTGAGTATAGATCAGATCAGGCACAATGCAAAGAACAACCCATTTAAAAAAATCTCAGGTAACCCTCATAGAGGAGAAAATATGGGTCGAAATAACAACATCCTGCACCATTCGCCTCCCCACTGGGTGACACAAAAACCAATCATCTTGACAGCAGCCTCTGATCGGCTGAGGGCTTCCACCCCCTCCACCCCCCACCATTTAGTCTCTCTCAAAGCCCAGTGTGGCTGGAGCACTGGTTCCATTTCTGGATGAAACACGGTCTCCATCCTAATTAACCCAGATGTGGATATTAATAAGATGAAAGCAGGTCTAGACTAGAAACAGGGCAGATTGAGCGGAGAGGGTCCTGATTTCAGAATGGTCACACTGAAGTGGGACACCTTCGCCCCTCCTTTGACAGGGGAATAAAGGCTGTTTCTATATAAAAAAACACCCCCTGGCCCTTTTTAATTGGTCCCACCTCTCTTGAGGTTTGAGTGCAATGAGAAGCTGAGAATATCTACAAAGGGAGGCTGCATTGCATGAAGACGGAAATGTCAAGTTGATGGAAACATATGACAGCTATTACTTCTACTGAGAATTTGGGTGTTTTGTTTTTGACTGACATGACATTTAGCTTCGGCAGCTGTAAGGGTGTAAGGATTCATTCTATGGTGAATGTGGCTATTAAACCACCTATAACCTATTGAACATCCTTCCACCAATCTCTATCAGTGCAAATGATGCTTCTACTCCTTCCAGATTCATGTGTTGTGTGAGAAATGGGACCTCAATGTGCCAGGACAAGATGAGAGCTGCAAGACTATAAATCTAGTGGGAAATGTCATGCACAGAACAAGCATCCCCTGATAGATGAAATGAATTGTAAAAGTGAAAGAACAGACAGGAGTGTCAATAAGTTTCTCCTTTCAGAAAAATGAAACTTATTTTTCATGCCTTGAGATTTAGTTGTCATTGCATCGTCTTACATTGAGTGGGAGACACTGGCAGATCAGGAGACACGGCGGGGACCAAACAGGAAACAATGACGGGCACAGACATGACTCATCCAGCTCATTGTGTTTGTGGAGCCATCAGCGAGTTGCATTGTCTTGTTCTAATGAGTGGTTAAATTAACCAAGATGTAAGGGAAACTGAAAATAGACCAAGATAAGACTAAAGAAGGATGGGTTTAAAGGAAATTAGAGGCATTAGGTTTGATAAAAATCTTTTCTTCATCTCTCAGAAATGAATCCATCTTTATACATTCAGATAAAAACAAATATGATATGACACTTAATTTCATTTACTTCACTTGATAATCGATAAATCCAATGGGAGAAACTGAACACAGTTGTTGGCACCACAGTGGCACTCTTTCCTCTGGAGTCCATCTGTCCTGCTGGCAGCATCATTTTGTGTGGACAGCATCTCTACAGGTGGTTGATTACTGTATCCTCCGGAGTAGTCAAACGTCAGCTCCTCTTGCGCATCAATGTTCCGTCCAGCAAACAGCGCCAACCTGGGAACCACAGAGTGCACACGGACTGGCTGCATGAACAGGTTGGGCTGGCAGGAGTGGTTGAGAAACCGGCCTACATTTCCCACCATGGCAGGGTCCACAAATGTCTCCGTGATAGAGCCTGTACCTGCATGCTCCCTTACGGCAATGATGTAGTTATTTTCCTCAGATCTCTGGGCGAGCTGTCTGCGTCTGGCCTCCTCAAAACTGATCACCTCTCCTGCATACTCGCACACAAATGTCCCATGTGGGATTGCCTCTAATGTTCTTACTCCCCAGCCCCTGTTCTCGGTGCTGTAAACCTCTAGTCTGAGTCTTGGCCCTCTCTGCACCACCCGGTTAGAGCAGGCATCACTGCAGGTGCAAAGGGCATTGCACTCAAACACAGGTGAGCAGTAGCCAGAGTCCGTCCTGCTAAGGTTCAGCAGTGTGCCTGCGCTGTCGTACGCCTGCCCATGAGTCTGCAGGCAGGAGCAGCTCTCAGTAAAGCAGGAGTGGGAGAGGCAGGAGCATCCAGGAAGGGTTACTTCACTGGGGTCAATGGTGCAACCTGGTCCCTGAACATTATCTGGGGAATACTGGAAATGAAAACAAATTTTACAAGTTTAAAACTGTAAATAACAAGAAATAAATCAACCACAATCATAAATCATTTCAGTCAGTTTCTCAAACAACATTCACAGGTTCCACCTTCTAAATGACAAGGTTTGTTTTCTTGTCTTCGTCTTTTAAGACAGGAAACTGAATATATTTGGGTTTTGGACTTCTAACCGGGCAAAACAAGACATTTGAAGACGCCACCTTGAGCTTAGGAAAACTGTGACATTTCTGTTCTATTGTTTTATAGACTGAACGATGAATCGAGAAAATGATCTGGAGATAATTTATTAATAAAAAGTAATAGCTGAACTTGAAATCAACCTTCTTTAATGACTTAATGCATTACCACATACAACTATAGTTTTATCACATATTCAGCAATGATGATGACTTTCATGTCTACAGGATGTTTCTTAAAAACTGGTTACATTTTAATGCAGTCAGAGAGGTCCTCTGGAGCATCGTGGCCAGCAGGCCGTGTTAACTAGGACAGCTCCTTTGGTCCTACAGAGGCAGTTATTTTCGATTCCCTCCCCTGGAGTCAGAGGATGTGTCTGTAGCCTGTAATGATTTGCTGTCATCTGCTGGTGAAGCAAAGTATTTCATGTGATAGAGCTGATAACACCAGGTTTCAGCAAGTTTTTTTCTAGGTTTGCTGGACAAAGCTTAAGTAGGACTTTGACCATAAATAAAATGCATTGTATTTTTTTTTTATTATCTCATTTTTTCCAAACACATGTCAACAGAGTCTTTGTAGTGTATTTCAGGCAGTGCCAAAGATCTTGTATACATCTTATTTATTTCTTGGAGCCAGACCAATATGTAGCCAGTGCTTAATGCAGATATAACAGTTATTCAGAGTTGAGATACTGTATGTTTCACGAGCTTTTTTTGAGAAATAATTCATTTTCACAAAATTTCCACCTCATAACATACACAAATTCTATGTTTGTGTTATGTGTTTATATTTAAAAAAAAAAAAAAAACTAGGAAGTTGGCTCAAGTTGGTTCAAGTTGGCTGTAGTTGGCCTTAACACCTCAAAGGGATTTAACCTCTTCCACTCCAGTATCCTCAGCCAACATTACTGTCTTTCAGAGGCTGCAGTCGGCTGGGCACATTTAAAGCTCCAGTGAAGATATGGTGATGATATGGTGAGGATTGGTATCATATCCAACGAGAGGACTAAAGAAATTCCTTGGTACCAACCATGTCATGATAGCTTGATGGGAAGGGGTTAATAACAGCAGTTTTATTCAACGTTAACTTGTTTTGCCGAATCTTTATTTGTTGTTATGTAATTATTACTTTACTATTTAATTTTTTTTTTTTTTTTACATTACTGTATTCCTTATCTTGTTGACTTTAATAATCGGTTGTTATTTTCTCTACTTTCACTGTTAAGGTGACCTTGAGTGTCTTGAAAGGTGCTTATAAATAAAATGTATTATTATTGTTGTTATTTAGGCTGTAAAATCTGCATACTACTTTACATAGCTATGAAATGTCACATGCAAGGTCAGGAAGAAAGGGGTCATACAATAAATGCATTACATGACTCATATGTCATCCCCTCTTGGTGAAAGTGGTGCTGTTACAACCATCCCCGGTCTCCCCTGAATGATAAAGTGCATGATGGCTGATGGCTCTCTCCATCTGCTGCAGTGTCAGGGTCCTGGTATTGAACATGCTGGCTCAATATCAAAGTCACCTGGGACACTTGAACACAACACAGGCATAATGTAATTAACAACACCTGTGTGTTTCCTGCTATGACGTGGAAAACAACAGTTAACTTGCAGGTGTTAATGTATCTAATTGAGGTACTAGTTCACTGTAAAGCTAAACACATGACATTATATGACATTATATTGTTCCTAAGGAGACGTTCCTACTCTTAAAGCACTCCTCTAGCAAAATAAATAACTAAAACGCATTGGACTTCAGGGGCTCACGTTACATGTGTTCAACTTATGCTACGTAACGTTACCTGAAATTCAGGAAACGTCATTACGGCTGAACTCCGTTCAGTAAAAACAGGAACATTCTCGAGGCCGTTGCTCAAATCCACTAAATCCACATTTCTGTCAATATTCATATCCAAGGTAATGAGTGAAACAGCGGCAGAGAGAGCAGCTGGGATGTGTGTGTCGGAGAAGCTTCTTCTTCTTTTGGTGTTACGTGGGGTGGCAACCAGATGGAGGCGCATTACCGCCACCTACAGTGTTGGAGTGTGGACCAGCATTCTGTCCCTTTATACAAAGGTGAAAAAGGTTCTTAGAAACACTTATATCCATTGATGAATTAAGGACATCATAAAGAATGTGGTGATAGAGACCTGAGAAGCCACTATGTTTGAATAGTTGTTGTTTTATTGTGGATTTCTATATCATATGTTGTATTTGTTGCATTTTAAATGTGTTTTGATTGGCTGCTAACATGGCTAGGTCTCTCTTGTAAAGGAGATTTTCAGGTCTCAATAGGACTTCCTGGTTAAATAAAGGTAAAATAAAATACAATAAGGTAAAAGCAAAACATAACATAACAAAACAAAACAAATAAAGAAAAAACATCAGCCCAATAACCTAAAAAATTAGTTTCCCTGAAACTGATTTTAAATGTATGGAAGCGTATTGCTGCCACACCAGGAAAAAAATAATGGGTCAGTATTACGTTATAACGTGAAAAGTTTATTGGTCTAACAAGAAGTTTTTCACATTATAACAATATATTTTCACGTTAAAACGTGATAACTTATATTGTATAAATGTGAAAAGTTTCATGGTATAACGTGATAATTTATATCGTACGTACATGAAACGTTTCACGTCATAACGTGATAATTTATATTGTTAGGACATTACAAATTCCACATTATAATGCAATATGTGGTCTCGGGAGGAGGTGAACCCATATACTCCGGTTGTGGTTTGACACTTGGCTATTTTCAATGAACAGGCATCAACATGGCCCAAAACACGGATAACATGAAACTATATTGTAATAATGTGAAAATATATTGTTATAACGTGAAAAACTTCTTGTTAAAACAATAAACTTTTTACATTATAACGTAATACTGATCCATTATGTTTTTCCAGATGTGGCAGCAATACGCTACAAATGCATGTTTTCCATTCATTTTTTTCCTCCATTGTTGTGAAAGAACGGAGTTCTTGGAATAATCTTTGGACTTTAAAATTTGGACTGGATTAGAAAAGAGACATTTGTTTCCTATCTATGACTTGTGCACTGCCTGTATATGTACCGTGATTCTTAAATAGTCTATACCATTATAAATGTGTCTTTAGTTTCTTTCTTCTTTCTGTCTTCTTCCTTTTTTTATTTTGTAGTTTACCTGGATTTTGGAGTGGTTATTCTTACTGTCAAAATGTATGATATGTGCAGTTTGTTCAATAAAGTTTATACAATTGAAAAAAAGGTTCCTCTTCCTATAGCTGTGACTTCCGGTAGTTTAATCACAGGCTAGCTCCCTCAAGTGATGTATTTGTATTACTACAGCACTGTAATTATAAACCATGTGCTTTGGCCATCTGGCCACACTCAGGACAAAGTGGGCAGCAGCTCATTAAGGACAAATACAGCACAGCATGAGATAACTGTTTCATTTAACTACTGTGAGGAAGGAACTGGAGAGCATTAGAAATGTGGTCTCACGGTGTCACACCTTTTTTTTCTGTTTATTTATAGGCTACCGTATTGCCCAAAAATGCTTTTCTTTCTTTGCTCAGTATTTGTCCTTACATCTCCAGTTATGCATCATCACCATCAAGCCCACGCAGTTTTATAGTATCCAGAAGACAACTGCAGAAATAACATATGGCCTGCAGATGGCAGTAGTAGTTGGGCAAAATACTAATATTCCTCCTGCGATTCTACAACTAAACTTCTGCATAGTAAGCAAGTGACATGGACTGAAATAGCTGAATGAAAATAGAAGGAATCAATATGCCAAACACATGAAATTGTAGTTAAGTAATTTGATGTATGTTATCTTCTTAAAGGGCTAAGTGTTCTTTAATGATGAAGCCTCCTTTTTACACTCTTCACCTTTCACTCTATCTCAAGATAAAGCATTTTAACTGCCAAAGAGCATTATTCCGACTCCCCACATGGGCAAACAAAGCTGAAAACATGCCACAGTGGTGTTTAGGCCTGAGAGAAGGGTCATGATTCAAGGCCTTTTCTCTCTGAAGTTCAGTTACACAGTTCAGTTGTGTTTGCCGAACTCTGGTGTCTACTGTCAGGTGATTCCAGACTGGTGTACAATTAATGTTGTGTGTTCTTTAATCCCAGTAAATACTAAAGTGATGGGTATGAGTTTTCAAGCCTAACCTCTCTGTGGCGATGCAGTGTTGCCATGGTGTAATTCATATGCAGTGGTTTATTCTCTGGTGGCTATCTGAGGCAGATGGGGGGGAGGTCACATTGTCAGCTGGCATTTCCACACTGCACACAAGTGACCAAGGATTTTCCTTTGAGAATCAGCCCTCATCTTTGTCCTTGGGCAAAATTAGGGCTGTCAGTTGTTAGTTCTGCATCTAGGTTTCACAGATTGCATACTCAATCACAAGCTGAAATGTTAGAAGAAAATGGTACAATTAACTAATTGACAGCTGACTGACTGAACATCAAAGGAGGTTACTGCCGAAAAGAACGTAGGCTTCATGACTCAACTGTTGTGCTCCACAATTAGATGATACAAGATGAAATAGCTTTCAACAAACACAACAGACATGTGTACCACCTTAGTTTAGTCTGTTTGCATGCTGACGTTTGCTAATTAGCACTAACACAAAGCACAGCTTTGCACACCACACACACGCTTGTGTACAGCATGTGTGCAATGCTTTGACACCTTTTGCAGAAGTATAATTCTCACCTTGCAGCAGCAGTTGTTGATGCAGTGGCCACCGACTGAAGTCATCAAATACCAACCCTATGCCAGGGGATGTCTGTATAAGATACCATTGCACAATGGTGTTATGAAATGCACCGATGGGCAGCAGTTTGCAATGCCATTGGTAACAACTGAATATAAGGAGACTAAAAGTCCTATAGGGTGGGATGGGAGGTGGATGGTTCCAACAAACTCTGGCCTTCCACCCAGTAGCCTGCAATTTATTTCCTGTGTGTGAATGTTGAACCAAACCATTATATTTTTTTCTAAATCTAATAACATGCTTTTTTCTGCAGAAGGAAATAAATGTAAATACAAGGTGTTTTACCGACGTTGTAAGTTTATTTTGAAAAGACTATGCATTTATCAAGCAGAAACTGTACAGTTCCTGTGAAAACAGAAGAGTATTTTGAAAAGACACAATGCATTTAACCGGCGTAAATTGAGACTGGGTCATCAACAACAGACACAGGAGGATAACTAGCACGTAATATGTAGACGTGAAAGCCCACAGACAAAGCGGTTATATTTGATGAGTCGGGATGAGAACACATTCTGTCCTTTGTCTCAGTCTGATGATCCATGCCTCGCTCCTCCACAGTGTCTGCCTCTCAAACTAAAAACCAAGATGGCGACGACTGAAATGTCGTCAAAACCTCACAAACCAATGGGCGATGTCTTGGTAGCTATGTCTATCATTTTTGCAGTCTATGGGGTAGATCGTAAACCTCTGCGTAACCCTGCACTAAAATGATCAACTTCTCCCCTACATTTACCAAATTGATGATATTAATGGAATAAAAAAAGGAATCTGCCTGCTGTTATTGATTGTTCCATGTCATATGGCACATTCCGGGGCAAGTAGTAAAATTTTGTAAACCACCTGGACTATTGCTCACCTGTATGTGTGTATGTATGTGCTATCGGGAAACTTCAAATTGCACAAAACAGTGCAGTTAAACTTGTCCCACATTGCCCTTTAAGAATGAACACAGATAGCACTTATGGCTACCAGTGGAAAAAAGGCTCACCCTAAGTACAATCTCTTTCTTCAGCAACTGCATTTATTCCACAAAACCTGAGTTTTTACACAGTCAAGTTACCAAATATAGCAACTTTTATAGTTATTTCACCAGAACAGCAGATGTTGGCCAAATCATGTCCCCTTGCCCAAAATCTAACACTTAAGGACAGTTACTTATTAAGTCATCCGTCAATGGAATAGCTGCCCCCTTTACATACATCAATCCAATAATAAATCCTCATTTAGATTTAATTTACGGATGCATTACTTAAACAGCTGATCAATGGTCCAGTGATGGTCACAACTTATTCCTGCTCCCTGGTTAAGGCCCCTGGTGGCTAACTCATGGATTAATTGCAGGATTAATTGGATAATGAGAATATCATTGAACGTGTATCAGTATGGATGCGTCAGTGAACTTCTACATCCACGTATTATAACACAATGAAAGGTGCATATGTGATGAAAAGAGTGCAGCACAGAGGTGATATTGTATACAGCTTCTATTGTAATTAATCAGATGCACACCACACACACACTTGTGTACAGCATGTGTGTGATGAATATGATGCACTGAAATTCAGACCCCAGGAAGACTAGCTGTTGTCCATGGCTTCAGCTAATGGGAATCCTTGTAAATATATAAATAAATATGACATGCAGTGCATACTGCTGCAGCCTTCTGGCCCCTAAAACTGGCTCTTCTGAATGCTTGCACAACGCTACCAAGTTGCTCCCGCTTTGAGCACCTTTTGCACCACTACATTGACAACAATGGATTTGAGGTTGCAAAAAATGGGGCATGTGTTCGGGCCCTTAGCTAGCTAGTGTTAGCAGCTGTATAATTCAATCGATAACAATAAAGTAAGCTTAACACCAACCCAGTGAATTGTGACCTGCTCTTACTGAATCATTTGCATTGACCCAACAATACATTTTGAGATAAGCTTAACTATCAACATAGCTAACTGGAGAGGAGAGCTACTGAGAGAGCTATTGTGATTACTGACATGTCGTTTCCAAGCTGATTGTCAACATAGTGGCAGTGTTGGCAGTTGAGAGACTCCTCCCTTGACTCTCTGTCAACTAGGAGAGAAGTGTGCATGGTATGTTTTCTAAGAATAATAAAACAAAGGATTATTTTTTACTGCAGCTGATTTTTATAAATGACTACAAAAGAAAATATCAGTAAAAAGTGTATTTTCTTCATTTTTTTAAATTTCAAAACAGATGAAATCATAA